ACATTTAGAACATTCTCATCACCTTAAAAAGAAATCCCATACTTGGTAGCAGTCATCTGTTCCTTTTATTGAGTCTTAACTTTCTTCTAGAATTTGCTGTCAGTGTCCCTGGAGACTCATCTTTTTTTCTGGGATCATATCTTTCTCTGAGGACTCTGACTCTTAGATCTATGAACTGTGCTGACTGTAGGGGTCTTTTCTTTTGCAGAGTTCCCCACCCCCACATACACACATCTTGAGGTTATACCACTTTTTATGCGTCCCCTCCCTGCTTTTTTTCTATCCGGTTCCCACCCCTTCATCTCTCCCTGGAGCTTCACCTTTTTTCTGGAATCTTATCTCTTTGGGGGACTATCTGTTCTCACATCTTTGCTTTTCTCTTTTCTGTACTCCCTTCCCTAAAAACCTGGCACAGTGTTCTTCCCTCTATTGTTCTTATGTAGTTTTCCTCTGTCTTAGGAAACCTTCTCTGTCTCTACCTGACCTGAACTCTTTTTCATAATTCTGTTTCTTAGAGACCCTTCCTTGCATCTCTGGGGACCCACCCATTTTCTGCAGTCCCATCTCTCTGATAATCTCCTCCCTGCTTGTTTTAGCTCCGCCCCTTTTCTGCAATGTCTCCTGGGTTTCTGGGGTTTCTTGTCGCATGAAGTTCCCTGTCCCCTCTTTCTCTGTGGCACCACTTTTGTTCCAATGTCCTCCATAAATCTCTGAGAGTTTTTTCCTGGGGCATCTTTTGGCCTGGGGCTCCCCCGTTCAAATTCCTGTGGCTCCACCTCCTTCTCAGGTTGTATTCCCCCTTCTGGTATTTCCTCCCACTGTCAGGACTCTTCCTCTTCCCGGATTTCTTCAGTTACCGAGTTTCTCCTCGCCATGGTTGGATTTCTCTTTTTCTTCCTGGATCTTTCCTGCCCAGGCCCACTTTCCTCCCCAGACCTGTCCCCGAGGCAGCTAATTCAGTATGATTTCTGTTTAGGTGGTGGAGAATCCGACCCCACAGGAAATTCGCCAGATTTCTGTCATTTAAAGGTTGAAGGGTCAAGAAGAAAGAGAAATAGAAGTAAGTGGATATTGCATGTCAAGAGCTGTGCTGTGTTTTTTCATATACATTACCTCCCGTAATTCTCACAGCAGGGCTGTGAGTGGACTTTGGTATCTCCATTTGACAGATGAATAAACTGTGGCTTAGCGTAGAGGAAAGCTTCTTGGGGCTGGATGAAACAGAGAGCTGTCCCCGCCCTCTGAGTGAAGGCGGATGGGCTGGGGGTGGGGAGTCCTGATCCGCAGCCTGGGGAGGGGGCTTAGGCGCCTCTGCCCCATACTGCACCTTTCTGGACTGTGGAGAACCCAGCCCTGATAGATGGTACACTTCCTAAGGATTTGATTTCAAGGGCGTGTTCTTGGCAGGAAGGGAAAGAAGGAAGTGTTTTTCACACCTCGAAGGTGGCGCCCACCCTTGCAAGTTTGGGATGGGACAGCGGGATGTTCACTGGGCTTCAAAACTACCTGCAATGGAATGGCGTTAGGGTGCTCCCTCCCTCAGCTCTGCCCCCTCCTCTCCCTTCCCCTTCCGCATGCATCCTCCTGTCTGGATCCTGGCCACACTGGAGAGCACCACGGCCACCTGTTCCTTCAAGC